GTAGGCACGCCGCTCTAGTGGGCGGCAGCAGTCGATGCGGCGTCTATGTATATATGTCTTCACCACACCTTCCTCCTCCCTCCTCTCCTTCCTCCTCCCTCCTCCCTCCTCCCTCCTCTCCTCCCCTCACTCCTCCCCTCACTCCCCCTCCCTCTGCTCTCTCTGTTACTTCCTGGTTCAACTGTTTCCTCAAACAGACATTGACGCAGCTCCACAGAGTGTGTGTGTGTGTGAGAACCACAACGGACTGGACTTGGACCCGGACCTGAATCAGGACTAACAGAGACTCTACTTGTAGGTTTGGATTAAGGATTCAGGACTAGATCCTGGACTGACTCAGACTGAGAGATGCAGCTGTGGAACGGAAAAACGTTGACCGTGATCCTGCTGTCGGCTCTGCTGCTGGGGTGAGTTCAAATACTGCTAATGATGCTAATGATGCTAATAATAATAATAATTCTGATATTAATAATAACACTAATACAGGTAGTATATATACTTTTGTACTTTATGTGTCACATCTACATTATTTGTATCTTTTAGTTGTTGTTGTTTCTGTGTTTTATGTGACAAAGATTAAATCTTTAGACTTTGGTGGATCAGTAAGAATTCTTTGGGCCGAGTTTATGATGATTAATGTTTAATAAAAACTGTCCTGTTCTGAGCTTTAATGCTTCTGTTTCTATAATCTATAATCTATAATCTATGGTTTATAATCTATAATCTATCGCTGTCGGACAGTCAGTGAAAGCAGCGTAGCTTCTCATATTGAAACACACTATTCAGATCAAGTGGCTTTATTGGTATCACTGCACACAATACTACACTGTCACCTGAGCAACCTGAGCAACCTGAGCCTTCAGCAGGTGGATCCCACCTCAGACGCCTGCTGTTGTCCTGCAGTTATACAACAGTTTCATCTCGTCACTAACTTTCTTAAAGCTCTTCAGAAAGAACATGAACGTTCATTAAGTCTAATATTATTAAAGCCAGAAGATTCATGCTGTGTTCTCTGAGCTTCATGTTACTGTTCACTGGAGCAGATTAAAACAATAACTGCAGGAAGACATTTGATTACATTTTATACATTTCTCTGTATTATGTGTTTTTAGCACCGAGTGCTGCTAACGTTAGCTTAGCTTGTTTCTCTGATGACTTAATGTCTGATCTAAACAGCGCTGACGCAGGTACAGAGAGGATATAACGGGCAGAGTATCAAACCTGTGTCAGACGTCTGTGTTATACCACAGGCTGCAGTGGGATAATGAACCCTGTACAACATCCTACAGGTGTCTGTACAGGTAATAAACTCTGATGTCTGTGACATGGTTTCAGTGGCCAGTCTGTGTTTAATCTAACGGGCCGATACGTCCATTCAGAAATAAAGAATCTTCAGTCTGTGCGTCTGGAGTTGATCACTTGTATTTATTGATGATTGATTGTGCTTCTGTTTGAACCCACAGAGTGCTGTACTGCTACATATCCCAGTCCTACAGGTAACTCACACACTGCCTCACCTGTTGATTCTTCAGTTTACTGTCAGAGGACCAAAGACACCAGAAATTATTCACTTTAAGAAGCTGAAATCAGACAATCTGGGTATTTTTTCTTTAATGACTCAAACAGTTCAAACTTCCAGATGTCAGATTGTGATTGATGTGTCTGTATAATCAGTGTGTCAAGTTAGTACGAGGCTAAGTTAGCACAAGGCTAAGTTAGCACGAGGCTGAACAACGGACTCTGACAGAATTTCTTTTATATTGTTATTTTTGTGTTTTTCTTTGTCTTTTAATGTTTTAAATAAGAATTTATAATATTGATCTCTGATCAGATATTGATCTGCCCGTTCTTCTCTCGATTAATCGATTATTTGGTCCAATATTTGGTCGAACAACAACTAAAACAATTAATCAATAACCAAAGTATTGGCTGATTAATTTTCCTCTGACGGAATAATAAATATAACAGTGTGTGTGATAAATCAGTTGTCCCCACATAGATAGGCGAATATAACAGTGTGTGTGTGTGTTTCAGAGTTGTGTCTCTGGGTTCGGTGTGGGAGGAGATAACTGCTGATGGCAGGTGAGTAAAACAAACGCTCTCTGTTCTCTGTTGGTCTTATCAGCTGTCTGACCTTCACCTGAACCGCCCAGCTCTGATTCTGTGAATCGTCGTATGCAAAAAGCAGCAGGTTGTTTATGCAAAATGGTTGTTGTTGGTTGTTGGAGCGATAGATTAGATTTGATGAGATGCTACTTTACTGATCCTGTTCAGATGTGTAATGGGAGCTGATCCTGGATCAGTATCAGTTACAGGTATGAGGAAGTATCAGCTATAAATACACATCATGTTACATAAAAAAGTTCTCATGAAACATCTTTTCCTCATATTTGCGTGTCTTTGATAATGAAGCGTAGAATCCTCACGGACCTCCGCGATGCGTCTGCACCATCTCCGTATTGCGGAGGTCAGTACTGAGAGATTCACTTCCACTGTAACTCGTTTAATTCGGAACACATTTTAATGAAATGATGGATTATTATCATCAACAAACTCTGTAAATGACCTCGGTACTGTAACATTACTCCGTGGCTGTGTTCGATCTCCTGTTATGGTGACTTCTTCTCCCTGCCTCGCATCGTTCTTGGCTAGTAGAAAGCTATCGTTAACTTTGTACCGTTACATCAGTTATTGTTGGCTAAAATCAACACCGTTTGTCAGCATACATAAGTTAGTACCATGGATATGTTGAGCTGAGGAAGCTAACGTTAGCCAGCTAACATATGCACTCAGATTGTATTTTGCTAGTGATAATGTTAGCTAGCAAGCAAGCTAAAGCTAGTTAGCCTGCTGAATAATGTTATCCAGCGCCGGCTACCCTGTAACACCATCCAGCAAGCTAACGTTATCCAGCTAACAGCACAATCAGACCAATAGTGTTTCACTAGCTTAGCAGTAATGTGCTTTGACTCTAGACTCTGTGTTGTGGTGTGGTGTTGGTCATTTGTAGACGTTAGCGGACTCCATTTATAAGTTAACGTTAGCTATGTTGCCCACTGTTGGCACTGTAGGAAGTGGAGAGAGAAGGCACTCGGGAGCCATAAAGATCACAACCTTTGACCTCATCCCTACATAGAAACACATAGAAATCAGTCACCAGGCAGCAGAGGAACAAAGCTACACTTACAACCTGTTCACTCTCTGCTCACACACACACAGTGATCAATAATCTGACTGAAGGAAGCTTTAATGCTCCAGCAGGCTGCAGGTTGGTGCAGGAGTCGGTCTGTAGGTATGATGTTTGTTTAGAGGGTGGAAGGAGGTTAAAGATCAGATACACTCCCACAATGCTTTGTTCCTCTGAGGTCCCTCCAATGAGAACGAGACAAACCTGAAACATTCCTGAGTTCAGACATCAGATAGTCGTCAATATCTCAGCTGATATTCACTCTTATCACTGCTTTTATTAACTCAACAATCAGCTCATCCCACACTTCATCATTACACTGTGGATTCAGTTGAGCTTTAAGTCAAAATGAACATATTTAATATTTCAGTTTGTTTATGAAAATAAAAAAGTAAATTTAAAACTCTAACCCTAACACTTTACAGTAAATAAATAATCTAATAATAATAATAATAATAATAATAGTAAAACTACAACAGTAATAACATCCTGTTCTATCCAGGAACATCTGAGTCATCAACAGGTTCAGGTGTGATCACCTAGTGACACCTGCTGGCAGCTGTGGAGAACTACAACAATAATAAGACAATAACTGGGAATAGAAACTGAACTGAGCCATGTTACATATAATTATATATGAATATATATATATATATATATATTATGAATATTTGATATTATATGTTATATATCTAATTGTATAACAGTGGGGAGATAAAGCCTCAGAAACATTTATTTTGAAAAATACGGCTGTAATACTTCCTGTGTTTATGTCTCAACCTGCTAAAATAAACACATTTTATTGTTGTTTACCTGCAGTTCAATTGCAGCCTCTGATTGGTCCACAGCAGTCTGAACTCTGGCTGTGTCATGAAATCAATTAAGTTTTTTTTCTTCCAGAAAAACCTGAAAAAACCCAGATTCCTCCTGAATAATTAATAATGAATTAATAAATAAATATTTATCAGACTCAGAAATACTTTATTGATCAGGGGGAAATGAATTTGTGACAGTTGTTCCACTCACATGTTAAAGAAAGGAAATAATACTACAATATCAATAATATACAGAATAAAAATGTATGTATGGATACATACACGTATACTATATATATACTTTATAATAATAATTAATAACTAACAATTAATTATTAATAACTAATAATTACTCATTAAGTGTGTGTGTGTGTGTGTGTGTAGATCTGAAGTTCACATTGAGAGTCATCAGTTCCACCTGGTGGCTCCTGACAGGTGAGTACAGACAGACAGACAGACACTGACGGAGGTCTAATGTTGATGTGTTGCTTCCTGTCATCCTGTGCTAATGCTAACACTAAAACATGAAGAGGAAGCTGGTGAGCATTGCTAACAGACTGTTGCTGTGTTTGTGTTTCAGTCTGCAGTACAAACAACCCAGCATTGTGAGCGGGTGAGTGTCACTCTCTGTTGTTGTGGTTGTTGTTGTTGTTGTTGTTGTTGGTTAATGTCTGTGTCTTCAGTCGTACTGACGTGGTGACGGTGACGCCGTGGTTGGCTCCTGTGGTCTGGGAGGGAACCTTTAACCCCGTACTCCTTGACAGCATCTACAAACCTCAGAACATCAGCGTCGCAGTCACTGTGTTCGCTGTCGGGAAGTAAGTATGACATCACCACGCCGCCGCAGCACTTCTGGTTTGACCTTTGACATTGGGGTGACCCCTCTGACCTTCTGGACAGGTACGTCATGTTCCTGAAAGACTTCCTGGAGACTGCAGAACAGTACTTCTTCGTTGGTTTCAACGTGCACGTTTACGTCTTCACCGACCAGCCCACCAAGATGCCCCAAGTCAAAATGGGCTCCGGCAGACAGGTACAGATATTGGTGCAGGTTGAGCAGGTTCATTCTGAGTGAACCCACTGACTCCTCTTCCTCTTCTTCGTCTCGTCCCCACTCAGCTGACAGTGCGTTCGGTGCCCAGCTCCAAGCGTTGGCAAGAGATCTCCGCTCGCAGGATGGAGCTCATCCAGACGCTGATCGAGGAGAAACTTCGGAACCGCACCGACTACATCTTCTGTCTGGACGTGGACTCCAAGTTCCACGGCCGCTGGGGCACCGAGTCCCTGGGTGGACTGGTCGCTGTGATCCATCCAGGTCAGTCCGTCCCCATGAAGACCCACCAGAACCTTGTTCTGGTTCCACTGAGGCTCTCAATGATGTTCAGATGTTGTTGTTGTTGTTGTTGTCATTCCTGTCTCATTGGCAAGCGTCCTGTAGTGTCAATATCATCCTCAGATCTCATTATCTCAGAGGTTGACTCAGAATGTAGGTCAGTGCTTTTATTTTAAAGGAAACTTACCCTGGGTATTTCTCACTTTGATCCGTTGGGACTTTCCACTGGCACATAAAGCACACTGAAACAGATTAGTTGCTGTATATATCCATAAGCCCCGCCCCCGTTTGTTCCACAGTTAGGGTTAGCTCATTTAAGATGTGACTTTATATTAACAAACCGGTACATTTGAATAGACAACAGGGACACAGGACACAGAAAGTAGAAGCAGGTTCATCTTTGATTTATATCCTCAAGAAATCCAGCGGAAAATAATCTGTATCGGCGCTAACGCTCTGTCAGGTTGTAGAACGGCATAGAAGAAGAACTAAGGACGTAGTGTGTACTACACTGTGTGCACTACATAGCAGAGCAAAAAGGGGCGGGACTTATGAAAGGTCAATTAAATTGAGTTTGACTGTTTAAACATTGATATTAACAAAAAACCTGATTTCGTTATTTGGTGTAAAAAAAACTATAAAAACATCTTAATGCCTAATTAACTATTAATTAATCAAATAGTTACTGATTATTTATCTGATTCTGCTCTAATCACCAACAAATACATTAATCCACTGTCTTTGTGTTGTATGGGATTATGTTCTCAGACGGAGGGATACTAAAGAGTATATCACTCAATCTGGCAAGATAATCTTAAAACTTATAGAAAG